ATAAATATTTTCCCAACACAGAAACTCTAACCAGAATGTAAAAAGGAGAAAAGCCTTCTACCACTCAATTAAACTAGAATATGGTGTGATTCATAAATCTACTGAGCGATTTCAGATATATAAAAAGTCACTTGTTTATAAAACTTGGAAAATTCAATCTTTTAAAAAAGTTCTCAAAATGAATAATAATTGCCTGTCAAAGGGTGGTGCCTATGGCTCAAGGGAGTAGGGCACTGGCTATGCTGCAGGGGGCAGGTTCAAACTCAGCCCCAGCCAAAAACTAAAAATAATAATAATTGCCTGTCAAATAAGATTTGAAAGTAGTATTTATCATACAGAGTACACCTAAATTCATCTGTTAATTAGAATTATCATCTATGTTTGCTAACTGGCTTTATTCAAATAAGAAATACACTTGTCAGGCATATATAACAGGAGGTAGATTTGCAACTTAAAGCTTGGTGTTTACTAAAGTTAGAATCAATCCTTATGTGGAAACTGAGTCAGGGCACTATTCTTTGATATTTCATTTCATAGAGATGGTTGTCAGGTTCACAAAAAATTTCTGATGGCAACAGCTTGTTTTTTTTTTTTTCTTTTTATGTCCTTAATTTTTATTTTTTTTATTAAATCACTGTGATTAAGTAAATGAGGTGAGCACTATGTTAATTAGTAGGATGCAAGGACTCCAATTTGTACAAACAAGCTTATTTTATCTTTTGAAAGAATTTGAATAGATTTCAAAGAGGTGAAAAAGAACTTGTAATTAAATATTTTCTAAATTAAGTGCTCTAAGAAAAGGAACTGCAGAACAATATCTTCCTTTATTTTCAAGTTGGAAAATGAAGCCCCTTACTTCTATTTTTCCTTTATGTTTACAACAGCCAGGTCCAGGGTTTTTGTCTGCATCATATGGGCATCTGATATTCTGTAGGCCTGGATTTAGGCAACTGAAGAGTAGTCTCAAACACAGTGCATATGAAAGCAGGTTTGGTTGGGGTTTGAAATCCACAAAGGAGGAGGTGTTTTTAAGGCTCTACTTGCATGAGTGGGGAACAGAGCAATATTGGTAGAAGGCCTGGTTTGTGCTACAGACACTGGCTGAGGCGGAGCTTATCTCTGGCTCATTCCTGTGTCCACTTAGCCAGATGAGATTATGATCTAGTGGTCCAGAATCCTAGATGGTTGAGGAAACTTGTTCCTGCTGCAAATTCAGAGTCAGGTGTGGGAATTTGTCAAAAATCCTCTAGGCACCTCTGTGTGCTTTCAGCAGTGAACTCTAGGAGGAAATGGTCAAGTAGACCTAATTCCTGAGGCTGGAGCCTTGTCCTAGGAGGGGCCTAGCCCATCTAGTTCTCTGAATACCAGTGTGAATTTCTGGTGGGAAACAAATGTTCCAGAGATGGAATTCCTGAGGGTGGCCTCCTGTAAAGTAAGGGAGGGGCCAAGTCATTGCCTACTGTGCACATGCACAAGTGGGCAGGATTCACGCAGTGGCAATGAGGTTTGGGAGGGTTTCTGCCCTCAGAACTCCTTCACTCTGTGTCCTCAGTCCCCACTAAACCCAGGAGGAGATGTGGAATCACAGGACAATCTGGATGTGGCAACTTGTGTAGGAGAACAGATCCTCCCTTCCTCAATACACTTGAATTCTCCATTGAGCCCAGGTCTCTCCTGATCCACCCTAGGTGATACTCACAGGTGCCCGGGTACCCTTAGCTCTGCCAGGTCACTCACTGCAGTCACTGAGCCAAAGTGTCAGAAACCTGAGAACAACAACCAATTCCCTTTCATTTATTGTTTCTCAAGGTGTTTCACCAGAAATTTTACAACATGAGCATGAAGGTGTTTTCACACCACTTTTGTCTGAAAGGCATTTTATCAAAAAGTCACTTGCACTTGAATGTTTATAGCAGCACAATTCACAATCACAAAGGTGTGTGAACAACCCACACATCAATTAGTTAAAAAGTGGTATGTGTACACTGTGGGGTATAATCAGCCATAAAAGATAGTCTGATCTAGTTTTTATGGAATCAGCCATAAAAAATACTCCAATCTATTTTTTACAGAACTGCAGACCATTCTTCTAAATGAAGTACACAAAATGAAAAAAGACCACACATACTCAATACTAACTTGGAAGTATTGAGTCAAAACTGAAATGCACATATGGAAGTAAAACTTGACAGAAATTAAGTAAGGGGGAGGCAAGAAGAAGAGTAGAATAGACTCACATCTAACTAGCACAATGCACAGTTTCTAGGTGAAAGACACACTTATAAATTTGTCTTATAATGTACAAAAGCAAATATGTAACCAAAATGCGTGCGCCTCTGCAATAATGTGAAACTTAGAAGGAAAACGGGCACATGCAGCATGGTTCAGTAATGTAAGGCATGGCCTTTAACAATGCTGCCATGTTGCGTACGTGATGATACACAAAACAAATCATGACTCACAGAAAGTAATGAAGCAGATTATATCTGCATTAAGAGAAGAGATTCTGTTTTTTATTTAGTTTGTGAGCATGTGTTGTCTATGACTTGTAGAACCACATCTGTCATGACTCTTATGGCCCTGGTCTTAGTCACCAGGCATGAAGGAACCAGGCATGACACAGATTAGAAGCACACACACACACACCAAATTACAATAGATTTTTTAACTTAATTTTTTCTCTTTTTAGACAGAGTCTCATTCTGTCACTTGAGCTAAAGTATCAAGGATCAGCCTAGCTGACAGCAACTTCAAACTTCTGAGTTCAAGCTATCCTCTTGCCTCAGCCTCCCAAGTATATAGAACTACAGGCATGTCCTACCTGGCCTGGATAATTTTTTTTATTAGAGATGGGTCTTTCCTTTCTTAGTCAGGTCTTAAACTCTTGACTTCAAGGTATCCTCCTGCCTCAGCCTTGCAGAGTGGTAGGATTATAGGTGTGAGCCACTGTGCTTGGCCTAGGCTTATTATTTTCATAAAGAGAAATAGAACAATCATCTGATTATTTTCATAG